AGGAGAAGGATCGGAGGAGGATGAAGAGGAGAGGGAGAAGGAGAGGAGAAGGAGGAGGAGGACGAGGAAGAGGAGGAGGAGGAGGAGGAGGAGGAGGAGGAAGTGGAGAAGGGGGAGGAGGAGGAGGAGGAGGAGGAGGAGGAGGAACACTGCCATCGGAAGAGGTTCAGATGGAGAAAACAGGGTGCGGCTATCGGAGAGGAACGTTTTGTCACCACTGTAGGGGGCGACATCCCACAGTGGGCCAGCGACAAGCCACACCCCGTAAGAAGAGGCAAGAAAACGCAGCGAACATAACTCAGAGACGGGAAAACATCAGCAAGAAACGGTTGCATTTGAACCGTGGTTTATTTCTCGCCCGCAGCTGGAGACACTGGCTAATGTATCATTTGATGTTTGCTTAGCGTCTGGTTCGGAGCTAGCTCACGACTGGAGCGACAAACTGGCTGAAGCGTGTGTGGCGGTATCCGGGTTGCACGCGCACGCTAACTGGCTAATGTATCAAGAATGCAAGAGGAGAAGGAGGAGGAAGAGGCGGAGGAGGAGGAGGGAGGGAGAGGGGGGAGGAGGAGGGAGGAGGAGGGGAGCGCAAGGGACAACGAAAGGTGCGACCTAATGAAAGGAGAAATGGAATCTATGTATACATATATATATATGTATTGCGAAAAGGGTTTACAGGGACAGCCCGCTCGAGGATTGACCCTTGGACTCGTCGTCTGGGAAGAAGCGGTCTTCCGAGCCAAGTCGGGCCCTCGCACGGGTCCGATCCACAGCCCACACACCTGAGGAGACAGCTTCCTCCCAGGAGGGTCCGGATGAAGCCAGACGTCGCTGAAGGTCTAGCCTCGGCCCCGACCTCGACGGGTTCCCAAGGACGGGGGCCGACGGAACAACAACAATGTTACATAGGCACCCCTGGGAGTGGCTCAGAAAGGGGCTGGCCAGAGCAGCTGCCCTGCGGGACCAACGCAGACAAAAGCTTCTGGGCCCAACTTCGGTGCAAGACGGCGCACGCCATCATCGGACAGCTCGGACACCTGCTGGACACGGAGGCGCTTCTTAGCGCAGGGTGGCGGCCTCGCGAAATGCAAGCCAAGTGGCGCTCGCGACCAGGAGGAGCACACGCTAGCAGACAACCGGACGCCAGAAGGCTTCGACCCCAGCGCCCTCGAAGGCTACAAGCCGCCCCGCAGCTGAGGCCGAGCGCAGCGGCCCCCTCCTTGGGCCCGTCAGCCTGGTCCGTGACCTGAGCATCTAGGATAGCGTGGCCTCGGGCCGACCACACGTGCATGGAGGGCCACTCCGCCCACCCCACAACGTTGCTTTCTTCGTGTTCCCCTTCCCTCGTCAGCTGCGCTGAAAGCTGGCGCACGGGACCCACTTCCTCCACTCCGGTTCCCGACCGGTCAGGAAGTTGGCTCGGGCGGCTGCGATCCATCCTTCGAAGCGACTTTCGAGACCCTCACCCGCCCCAACCCACTCCCACCACCCACATGGGGAGGGGGAGGAGGCAAGGGGAGAGGGAGCGGACTAGAAGAGGGGAGTCGGGGGAGGGGCAGCTGGGGCAGAGGCCTCAATGCGCTCCACAGCACGCTCTTCTTCGACCATCTCCGCAATTTCGGGAGTGACCTCAACATAAACCGGCTTCATCCAAACAAGGTCGACATGATCGCCTACGAAGAGGTCTGGGAGCTCCGCCTACATAGAGGCCGAGAAACGCACACACACACACACACACACATCCTGCGGACCAGCTGAAGGGCCCCTAAGCGAACCTGACAAGACTGGAGAGGAGCACGGAAAGGTTGGCCTGCGTCCTTCGCGAAACCGTCGGCCAGATCATTCCGTCAGCGCTGTTGGAAAGTGATGGCTGAAGGGGGTCAGCGGTGAGGTGGCGGCGCTGGCAGGCGCGGCTGCCCTCCGCCCCAGCCCGCCCAGGCCTGATGCCCAGTCCAGCGGTCGGAATGACCAAGGAGGGCGCCCAGGGCGAGCAGGGCAACCAGAGAGACCCCGCCCAGAGGAAATCCGCCCCGACGGCTGAGACGAGGAGGGCTGCCAGCCACGAGCCACGTTAGACACGCAGGTTTGACACACCAGGCTTTGCTAGAGGCTGGTGTCTTGGTCGGGAAGGGGACGATAATCCAGGGGTCGGACGACATGAGCGGCGAGCCATTGTTGGAGCGGGCTTCGTCGCTGTCCCGAGCCGCCTGTGCAGGCGCGCGTGGCCAGGGAGCCCGAGGCGGTCGGGACGCTTCAATTGGAACACACGTTTGGACAGTGTGGGCAAGTCTCCTCTCAGAGCGCCAGGAGCACCGCGACGTATCAAGCATGGCGCCTGGGCCACCCGAGGGCGTCCACCAAGGATGCTCCACGGGCCCCTTCGCGCCCAGGCTGTGGGGACCGCTCTGGAGAAGAGCCCCCGCGCTTGGCGCAGTCGGTGGACGAGCCCCTCCTGGGAGCCCCAGGGCCACCGCGATGCAGCGGGCACGGCACCTGGGCCTCGCAAAAGGGGGGGCCTCCCAAGGAGCACGATAGCCACTATCACAATCTTGAGGTGGTGACCAACATGTCCTCCTCTGGGTAGACCGGCTGAACCGCCCCCCTGCCGCAGGCCATGCGCAAAGTTCGATCGTGTTCGGATCCGCTCACACTCTGGCCCACTGGCCATCCTCTGCCCGAGCGAATGTCACGAAAACTCGGACCCGCTTGCACCTGGCCTCGGCCACGCTCGGCTCCGCTCCCAGCCTGGCACTCGGCAAGGACGGCGGCAGAAGTTAGATGCACGCAGGAACCCCCGCGGACGTCCTCGCACACCGCCCGCGCTCTCGCGCGCACGCGAGGAGCTGGGGAGCCGAGGCCGTCGGCGCCAAGCCGCGCACGTGGCCCGGGCCGGGTGGCGGCGGCCCCGGGCGCGGCGACGGCAAGGCGCGCAGGGCACCCCGCGCGGGCCGGCGAAGCGCCGCGCCCACCGCTCCCCATGCGGCCTCTGGAGCGCCGCGCGCGCGGGCCGCCTCGTCTCGCACGCCGGCGGCGCTTGCTCTTTTTATGCTGTCCGCGGCCACTTGGGCCCAGGCAGCGGCGAAGCAGCGGTGGGGCGCAGCGTCACAAACTGCGGCGCGGGCAGGAGAGGGGGAGAGTAGAAGCTTGGAAATGGACACCGACACCAAAACTGGGGGTTGCGTTCACCGGGGGAGGATGATCCCAAATCCTGGTGTTGGTCGGAATCGTTCGGCCACCCAGGAAGCCCAGATACTAGCACCATCGCCGAGAGTGGGAGCAGCGTCCATCGGTGGAGGCACACTGCCGATCTTGGTGTCGGTGCCAACCTCCAGGCCTCCGAGAAGACCAGAGGGACGAAAGCAGAAGCAGAGCAGTGTGGGGGAGAGAGAGAGAGAGAGAGAGAGAGAGAGAGAGAGCGAGCAGCAGCGGCTGCTGGCAGCGCAGACCAAGGGGGCGGAAGGGTTCGCCCCGTTTCAAGAGCGAGCGCGCCTCGTCCTGGAGCGAGGGAGAGCGAGGGAGCACCTGAAGGAGGGGGCATTCCAGACCACCCCATCCCAACCCGAAGACCCGAATTTCGCCCGAATTTCGGGTTGGGGGGGGGCACGGGTTTCACTGTTTTTGCAGTGTTCCCCCCCCCACTGGAAATGATGGAGGGCTAATTGAAGCCTTCGGGTCGGCTTGGGGCGGTCTGGTGGGTGGGGGCACTCGGAGCACGACGCACGG